AGAAGACGAACGTACAAATATTGCGAACTAAATACGCTTTAAAGCCAGCGTATAATTGAGGTGAGACTAAGCTCACGAGAAATAATTGTTAAGACGTGTCCAAGAGTTGGCTATAAGATTAAGAATTCGACTTCAATTTGAACTTTTGAAATGTGCCAAAAATCTCTTCTGTAGGTAATCGTTCCACATTGACTGCTGTTCTCAGGGCCAGGTTTCTTGGCTTTTGATTTGATCTCAATGATAACTTCTTATGATCTTAATAATAATTTTTCTGCATGCGCCCTTTCTCTCCTCCTAAGCTGCTGGAACACCTTAGATTTAACTTGTCGAGTGTGTTTGCATTCAATCGACTAAAGGGAATCTTTTATGTATTTTAGTATATCATTTTTCTTATATCATACAATATATATATATACATATTATATATACAATATCATACCAATAAAACTGCTCTTTAAAATTTAAGAAAACATGGCTTCATGAAGTACCTTTGTCTTTCTGCCATTTCAAATTCTGTTTGCTGCATTGCAATAGGGTAAGCGTATCAACCGGTCAATGATATAACAGCTATACAATCTAGTCGTATTATCTGGGCAAACTAAGCAAATTTATATAACATCATGTCTATTTGAAAAAAAAATGCCGTACACGGTTCTAGCTCAGTTGTGAATAGGAAAATTGAAAAAAAAATTGAGCAAGTTTTTTTTAAACGGTTATAACTTGGTTATAGACTATAGACTTCAATACCCCTTCATGATTCTTTGGAATCTTTGAAGGTTAAATTACGTAAAAATTACTTAAATTCTGTATTAATATATTTAACATATTTAACATATTCAACGACAAACGTAGTTTAGAAGCACAAAGTAAATACAACTTACTTGCAAATCTCTTTGTAATAATAATAAATCGTCCAGCAACTGTTAAATCATTGTAACTAACCGTCAAATTGCACAGAACCAAAACCAATATACCCTTTGCACGCTGTGAATGTATTTTACCTTAGAAAAACGTTTTTTTTTCTCTTTCAGCTTTTTGTTATTCAATGAGCCACAATGCCTTACCGCATTTTGGCTGTTGTACGGGGTAATGTGGCCAAGGGCGGCTAATGCTCCGTCAGCCATACCAGATACCAGAACATTCATTCAGTTCAACGACAATGAGAGATACAAAGCATTCAAAGTATCTATACTTATGTATATATATGTACTTGCACACATATGTACGCTCAGAAGTAGGTAAGTGCAGCGTTGGACTCTTAAAGAACTGGTTGGCGAACGTTTGAGGTCTGCCGATGACATTTTCGCGCTTTAAAAACCCTCATAAATTTTAGTTTAAGAAACTTGTTCTGCTCCGAGAGCAGATCATATGCAAATTACCACAATAGTCAGCTATGACTCAGAGACAGCAAGCAATAGACTTTTAAGTGAAAGATAGACAAAAAAGAAAAAAACAAATTGTATGAGTGCTTGCCTAAGTGTATTTTAAATAACAAATTAATTAGTGTACAAGGGTCAGGGTTCGAAATGTCAAGTCGGTTAAGGGCAGGTTGCGTTATGCAGCTCATATGTATGTGGACACTTTTAATTACAGTCATATGTGACAACAATATGTCGCAAAAGCTACTTAATAAACAACGATAAAAGACTATTTGTAATATGTGAAAAATATGAATGAGTAGAAGTCGCCTATAGCAACCGCAAATAAAATCTGTTTCTATATAATTTTGAATAACTCCCCCCATTTCTCATTGATAAATGCCTCTTTCCTGCATTTTCGCAGAGCTAGGACAACAATTTCGAATGATTCATAAAGAGATAAGGAAAATTTTACTTTATGGAATATGATTTCGTGATATTGGATCTTTATATAGACTTTAGGCAGCAAGTTCAACAAACAAAAGTGTATACACTCATATACAAGCCGAAGTGAAAGTTATACCTTTTTATTGAGATTTTGAGGGGAGCCGAGCACATATTTTAACATTATCATCATTCAAAAAGAGTAGAGCAGGAGTATTTTATGCATTTGGGTAAATGTATCTCCGACCATACAGTACTTTTAAGTTTCGTTTTGTCTGTCAATAAATGCACAAAAAGTGTATCTAATTTTCTCAAATATGCATTAGTTGGTCGCATTTGATGAACATTTCAAGCGAGATATGTCATTTAACCAGCAGTTTATTATCTGTATGTCCCAGTTATGGAACAAAGGAAATAATTGACATTAGACAAGCAGAAATAGTCTTCGTATGCGGCTAAATTCCTTAACCCACACACATTTGACACTGCATTAGACATTGGACTGTGCATTAGACTAGATATAGAGCATATACTTTGCACACGAAATGTGCTGAGAATTAATGCTGCCTGGGCTTGGGCTTGCATTCTTCTCTTTTCACTTTTCGTCAATCCGCCCCATCAGGCCACAATTAGCTGCTGGCGAGCAATTTGTCATTTGGCTTTGACAGCCTGTCGTCTCTGGATGTTGTCATTAGCAGTGCAGAAGTTTGCATCACGAAACGCGCAGCTGGCATAATCTTTAAGACCGACTTGCATCGCATTCGAACGCAGAGCCCGAGTGTTCAAACTAAGTGAACATATGCGTGCTCTAGTCGCGAACGCCTGACTGGGAGACAAACTTTCGAGTTTCACTAAATACACATAAATGCTGGGTAACTTTTGAAGATTTCCCAGGTATCCGCGGAGTACAGTGAAGCTCGTAACTGACATTTGTTGTTATGATATCTGGTTAAATAGAATTGTTTCTCTGACAAGAAGTAAGTTTTTTGACGATCTTTTCTTTGGGTGTTAAACGTATATATATAATTTGTGGAATTGGATTCATATTTTTCAATGCCATTTTTGGGTGACTCAAAAATTGTTGCCTGCAAGCTGTACTTTTGCCCACTTGAAGGTTCAACTTGTTAACTTTTTCTCACTTTTGACCCAGAAAGACGGCTTTAGTTACATTTTAAACTTTCTAGCTGTGCATTGACATACCAATATATATATATAGAATTGCAGTTGAGGGAAACACTTCACCTTTTTTACAATCACTTTTCCCACAACTATTTTTATTTATTTCATGTACATATTACTTAGACGTCCAAGTTCCTACAACCTACGTATTGTCGACTATTTTCCTTATGTTTTGCCCATTTATTTGTGATTTAAAATGAAAAGAAAGAAATTTGTTGATAAGCACACAAGCAACGCCAACTTAATTTAGAAGCGAACCAGTCACAATCGACACTCAAATGAAATAGCGTTTGGTTTACAAAAACAAAAAATGTTCCTCAATTTCGCACTCGCCTCGTCGTTTCGGGGAAGTGGGTCACAGAAGCATACTCAGCATTCTTATAATTATAACATGCTCTGAATCCATATCAATATATAGCCCCGTCGCCGTCGGTAGACCGCCCCGGGAGCAAATTCCATTAGAAGCCCAACACGCACTTAGTGCCATTTCCTCTGCAAGTTTATTCGATTAACTACAATCAGCGCCGGGCTGGTGGGAGAAGTGAAAAGTCATTGTCGGAGCAGGAACTGCGTCTGGGATGGTAAGTCTCCTGCATTTGTTAAGCTGACTTCGTGTCGAGGGGTTGCTGGGGCAAAATCACGTAATTGTAAATTATGAGCAGGAATGAAGAAGAATATGTTTAAGGTGCTGTCGCCGCTTGGAACTCAGCTTTCAATTCCAGCCAGATGCAATTAACACTTGCCACGTGTGTTGTCGGCAACTTAACTTAATTTGTCAATTTGAAATTAATATCATTCCAACTAGCTGCTCGACTTTAGTTTCGCATTGGAAGTACATGATGGGAGCTCAGCTCTCTCTTGATAATAGTTGAAGATTCAATATTTGACGGGTTGCCTAGACCAATTAGTGTTAATGACACTCATTAATAAGAAAATGTTTCTGACTTGCATTTAATCGGATTTAATTCAATTCAATTTGTTTTTCTCTCCCAACTAGCCAGCCTGCTTTCCACAAACAGATGAGTTAGTATCTTTTTGAGTTCATGCTTTATTCCGAATCATTCGATTGTGGCTAGCAAAAATGGAAGCTTGAGCTGCTACTAATTTGGGCTTAACCCGAGTCCCAGTTCTAGTTAAACAACTTTGGCCTAACGTACTATTAATGTGGGTGTTGATAAAAGTTGTTGACGAACAGAAGTCGAAATGTGAATGTGGTTTCTACAGAGATACGCCAATTATCTACATCCATATGTTTATATATATACAGGGCGCTACGTACAGGGCGCTTTGGTTATGATAAAATACTTTAAGCATTTATATGACTTGTTAATATTTGATATTTTAATAGTAAACTTGGGTGAGATTCAACTAAAATACGTTTCTTTAGCCCATATGAGCTTTTGCTTCCTTCGAGCCTGATATGTTTAGTGCAAAGTTTTTGCTGCAGCTTGAGAACATATGGATTTCGATGCATGTGTTTTCTTTCCTCATTAAATGTATAAATTGTTTCTTCTAGTAAATATTAATATTGTTATTTTTCCGATTTGCAAGGGCACCCTATTTCTAGCTAGATTGTTTCTCTCGAGTGCGCGCAACAACATTTTTTGCGTGGGCGTATGTTGTTACGCCTCGGGCCAGTTTCAGATACAGATACTATAGTTTATTTTCTTCTCTTGCAAGCGCCAATGTAATCTTGAGAATTAAATTCACTAAGCTATGCCAAGCTAGCCAATTAGCTGTTGAAAAGAGCTCAAATTATGAAAATAATTTTCCATCAATATCTGGCAAACATCTGCAAAGGCAAAGACCCAAAGTTTGTGCATCCAAAGAGTTGGGAACGCAGTTTCGAGCGTCATCTAGTCATTGAATGTGAAGTTAAACACAGCCAGCTGGGGCTTAACAAAGTTTCTCATGACGAAGTGAGATGTCTGACGGCTGCCAAAGTGGCGCTTGTGCAGGGATTATGATGGCTGTAATTAGCAGCCAACAGCCGGAGGGAAATTCGATGGGATAACTCACCATATTCCGCCGAGATGGCGCACATGGGCTGGTGATGATGCTGATGCGCGTGCGGATGGTGTGGATGCTGTGGACAGATACCCTCGTGCGGGTGCGGTGCAATGTAGTATTCCGATGGAAAGAAATCGCCCGGGTATTGAATATATAGCGGCCCCGGAGGCAGCGATGCTGCAACTGGCGGTCCAATGCCATTGGTGCCATTACTTGCGCCATTTCCCTGGCTGCCGCCAGCTCCGCTATTGCTCGACACACTGCTCACGCTGCTGGCCGAGGAGTCCCCAGAGCTGCCGTTGGGCGAGATGCCGCCGTGTCCGTTCTCGTGGGGCTGTGCCTGGGACTGCTGCTCGTGCGCTGCTGCCGGGCTGGGCCCATGGTGCCCCATGCCATTGTTGGACGGCGGCGGAGGCTGCAGCATATGGTGATGGTGTTGCATGGCCGCCAGCAAAGCCAGCTGCTGCTGCGGATGGTGCAGCGCACAGACTGGCGGCACTATCTGGGCACCCTGAGGCGGTGTCGCCGTCTGCTGCAGCAGTGGCGGCGACGCTGGCAGCGAGCAGTTGCTGGAACTGCCGTCCGCTGCGGCGTGTTGCTGCTGCTGCTGCTGCTGTTGCAACTGCAACTGCAACTGCGATGGTGTTGCCAGCTGCGGCGCCGGCTGCGAATGTAGCTGCGATGCTGGAAGCGGTGTATTCTGCACCATTACGATATTGCCGGCTGGCGAGGCGGCCTTCGAGTTGGAGCTGCTATTCAGACTCGTCGTGGACGATGTTGAGGAAGAGCATCTGGCCGCATTGTGGCTGCTGCCGGTGACGTGGCTGTTATTGTTGCTGGCTGTAAGGTTACGGCTACTTTGCTGTTCGGTAACATTAAGTCGCACCATGCTAGGGGCCTCAGAATCTGCAACAGTTGCTCTGTCCCTTCCTGGTGTTTGTCGATTCTTAGAACATGTTTATCTCACGGGTCTCTGCAATGTTAGTTCGCGTGTGAGATTATTTATAGTTCTAATATGCGCGTTTATCTGCAATAAAACATTGAAAGAAGACGGCAAAAGGGTTGGGCTTCAATTAATAACTAGCTCCAAAGCTCCATTAGGCTTTACTTGATAGTCAACCGGACTTGTTTGCGTTTGCTGCTCCTGTTCGGGTCGTTATTGGGATCCAATTGAATAAATCAAATGTCTCCAACCAACTTTTTACAAGTTTAGCTGGACTTTAACACTTTTCGCATAGGGACGGGGAGATTACGGTAATTTTAGATTGTGATAACATAAATAGATCTTGGACATAAAGCTCCATAGTTCCAAAATATTGCTATACTCTAGTCTATGGTAATTTTGTTGTTTGATTCAAGTTATTTGTATCATCTTTATCAGTATCTTCAGATATCATATATTATATGATATAAGAGTTCCAGATGCAATTCCATTTATAATTTAATTGTTTTTCAACAACAATCGACTGCATATACTATATATTGTTACAAATTTTAATTGATCTATTAAAAGTACCATTGTCCAAGTCTATCGTATCTTATATGTCTAGCATATCTTAGTCCTTGTCATTCCAAATTACATTTTTAGCAAAACATTTTGTGTTTATAAGATGTACTTTCTTATATTCCCAAAGAATCACCTATAGGCTAAATATTTAAAAAAAAAAAGCTAAAAAAGGTGCATTTGCTTAAAAAACTTTTATAAAGTTGCAAGTTAAACTCTTGCAGTGCAAGAGTTGTTTTATCTCACAGCATCGAACTCTTTAAGTAAGTTTCTTAAATATTGTTTTTGTTCATGTTCCGATTTGTGGAACGTAAAATGCCATCCAAAACCATTAGAAAGTTGAAACTCCTTTGATTGCTCGTTATATAATAAAAGCTCTGAACAGACGGGCCTGAGGGAGGGTCAAGTCTCGATCTTTTATAGAGGCCATCTGCTCACAATATTGCTGCGAAATTTGGTGCCTCAATGTTAAGCAGCGGGTTTTCCGCACGCCAATAGACCTATCCAACAATACGCACACAATATACATATACTTCAAGTTTTGAGTCTCTTGCCTCAAGCAAAAATGTACGATCTGATGACGGACAGTGTGTATACCGAGTAATAATATAAATATCTAAACTAATTTTTACAAAATTCTGTAAGGAATATGTTTTTGACTTTTCGGAAAAGAGAAAAATTAAAAATAAGCTTTTAATTTATTTTTAAAATTGAAGAAACTAAAAAAGTTAATAATGATTGCAACTTAAAATTCATTTCCAACCCGCCAAGCTCGGCGGGTGGAAACGGGTGGAAGAGTGAAGAGTGAGAAATGCAAAGGTAAAAACTAGGCCCGGGCAACGCCGGGTAGTACTCTTTAGTTATATTTATATGTGAACGGAATAGAAATAAAGCGTATTTTAATTTGATTGGATTCACGGCTTCACGCCGTTGGCTTTCCTTGGATTCCCCTTAGCCACACGCTTAATACTCAACCTCTTTTCGTCTGTGACGAAATATGATGCCTTTGTTTGTACGTTGGCAACTAAAACCAATAGTCTTTTAGGTTGTTGTTGCTGTTGTTTTTGCTTTTTTTTTTATTTAGCTGTTAATGCAGCTTTTATTTAATGGGCTTCTTTTGTCTTTTCGCCCATTTTACGTGCCCTGACGTTGCATTTATCGCACCTGCCACGCTGGCTGCCAGTTTTTGACAAAGGTGTTGGTCATTCGGTATTGTATATCCAGTTATAGAGTTCATTGAGCCATCCCCTAATGCATTTATTTTGAAAACATTGTCTAAAGTAGCTTTAAGGGCTGATGTTTCAAGTGAAATACTAGAACGCATCTAAATGGGCTAATGTTTGAGATGTTGCTTGGCATCATTCACCATCCCACAGGTCGCATGTTTAATCCTATCTAATTGATATAGTGCAGCAGGCAGCAGGCAGCGGGCAACCGTATCCGAATCTGAGACCAAAAAACAATGGGCGAGTCTGCTTCCACCTGTCTCAATATGTGCTCTTGCGACTGTCTCAAGTGCTTCACACCTACTCACGTTCCAGACAATAGCAGCACGCACCGTCAGCAATGACGCCAACGTCGTTGACGATGCCACGCGGAAATTTACGCAGCTTAGCAATTGCCTTCTTTTTTTTCTTTTCTATTAAATGTCAGACAGTGTCTGGGCATACATACGTAGCGAGACGCGCTTAGACCCTGCGCATTTGTGTCAGAAGTGTCTAGACCAGCTTTTAAGTGGGAGCGTAAGCGACCAAATGAGGGGCTTGTCCCGGCGGGCCTCTTACCGGCAATGTATTTGCGACACCTTCAGCGCCTTGATAAGTCCACTTGTTCTAACTTCAACGGCTGCTTCCGTATAATCAAAAATCAGTATCGATTCAGTGTCTGGCATTGTGGTTAAATCTTAAGACTTGAGGAATGTCTGATAATCCGATTACGAAAATGCGCAAAGGAAATTAATCTGGCAAGCTCTGACATAAAATATGCATTTGGCTTTTGTAAAGTGTCCTTAGAGAGGATATCATCAATTATTCGCGAAAGGTGCGACTATTTGAAGAAGCACACAAGACGACACATTTGAGTGAGGTGCAAATCAAGTTCCTAAAGATCTGAGGAATGTGGTCGATAACACTGGAAAAACAAATTATCTGGCTTTGCCTAAAACAAGGTGGACGATATGTGAGTATATGAATGTTATGTCTGAGCGATATATTCTAAAAATCAGGAACATAATTCTTCTTTTTCAACCGATTGCTTCTCTGATAGTTATATGATATGGTGTTCGGATCCAACCGATGCCGACATATGAGCCGATATGCCTGCAGCAGAAGGAAGAATGCTTTCGAACTTTCTCATACTTTCACCTTAGGTGGATTTTGTTATAAAAATGTTTCTACAGAATTTATACATTCGTTTTTTTTTTTTTAATTCTAACCACAAGTTTTTACCAAAGTTTACCAACCTTGAGGTTGGAATTTTAAGAACCTCATCTTACATCGTAAAAGAAACCTCTTCTGAGCAAATTGGTTTCCTTTCGTACTGATCACCGATCGATCAGTATTATATACATTATTTGCATGTGAATAAAAGGCCAAGAATTTGAAATTTCGTTTTGGCATGCATTTGACAAACGATCAACCTGCAAATTTCACTTTGTTCTATTGAAATTCATTCGCGTTGTTTTTGGTGGACTTTCCTATTTGCCAGCCCAGAAGAAAAGGCGAGCGCTTATTGCATTCTTCGGTGGTTTGGTGTTTTCTTCGATACCTTGGCTTTAAAAACCCAATTTTGAGTAGTGGCCACAAACGGTAGGAGCTACAGTGGGGCATCAACCGCAAATGCAGCAACAACAGAGGCAATTTTCTAACGGCAATTTCTAACATTTACCTAGTTACCGTTAATAGACATGTTGGCCAAGTTAGTGAGAGCCGGCGACCAAGACATGAATAGGGTACTGACTAAAGCGATGAGAAAAGAGGCGGCTAGAGAGCGGCAAGTGCCACACAGTCAATGGCGTTCACTTCGCAGCTTTCTTTGCGCTCCGCTCGAGCACATCAGTTCCGACGATGACGACGGCGATGACGACAAGCGAAGTATCTGGAAGTTGCAAGCATGCCACGTCTGCGGCTTTGCGCGTTGTATAGGTGTATCGGTGTATAGGTGTGCACCTCTTTGTTGGCTGTCATTGTGCCCGTTTTACTTGGCCACGCTCGCTGCCAGGGGCCGGGGGAGGGGCAGCCAGATTCAAGGCGCAGTGTGTGGTTATTCCGCTACGTCGAAATGGTTTTTGGGTTGATCTCCCCGCCAACTGGCAACTGGCAACTGGCAACTGCCACCTGCCAGCCGATGTACTCCTGCAACTGATCAATAATTTGTGGTTTCACACTGGCAACAAGATAAGTAGTCATTCAGTCAGTCAGTTAAATGCAACATGTTGCAACATTTACCAATCAAGTTAATTGCATAAGAAACCACCGGCAAGTTTCAATATGCGCCTGCGATTTTGTTGTTGTTGCTGTTGTTGTTGTTGCTGCTGCATATTTCACTGGCTGAGATTTTGGAAAATCACAATTTTCTATATATATACCAGATTACACAGCCGCAGTCGCGACATCTTCGTAGTACGTTTTCCACACTATTTAGCCAACCGATCGCTGACAAAAAGAAGCTCATGCCAAATAGCCGCATGAGAGCAACTTATGCAAATAGTATCGGATTTGGCATTTCTGGTTATTGTTCACTTTTTTTTCCATGCTCGAAAATTTTCAATTTGCAGTCGACTGTCGGTTGCATAATTCAGCTTTTGGCACATAACAATGCAAAAACCTCAGTGGCTAATTACAGCGGTTGCATAAACTATCCAACAACTGTTGTACGTACATAAATACATTTGTTTGCAAATTAATGCCAAACAATGTGTTCAAGAGGGGCATATAATCAGACCTCCAAGTTAGTTAAAGTAAGCACACACGATACAACAACTCCATATTAATCCTGGCATTTCAGATATAACTCAAAGTTCTATTCTATTCCTTCTATTACTCCAAGTGAGATGAAATTAGTTAAAAGTATTAGTATATTATCATGGCTAACAAATGTATGTTTTAATGTGATTTTGCTGCATGCATTTTAATTAACAACTTAGTTCAACATTAAGTTGTTTTAACAGAGAAGAGTCTCTTATATATCGCAGCTTCCGCTTGTATTTAAAGTACGAATGTTTATTATGAACACTTAGAACTGATAACGGAGTCTTTCCTAGTACACTTTTACTTGTTATTACAAGAGTTGATAAGCATTTTCACACTTTTTATCTCTAACATGGACATAACAAAAGTGCTTGAGTCGCGCAAACTACATGTCTAAGAAGTAAGACTTCAAACTTCAGTTTATATGTTTTTTACAAAATTTTACAAAATCGATACTTATCGAATTTATGGTAATTAGAGCTGATATCGCAAACAAATAAGATCGTATGATATGTATATATATCAAGTCTTAGGCGCCAGTTTATCTCTCTAGAGATCTGGCTTTAGAATAAACTAAATCAACTTGTACTTTAACAGATGAATATCGATCGATTAGTCTAAACGAACTTTGCCCAACTGCAATATATGCCTTTAAGCCCAAGTTGAATGGGTAAAGGGGATAGAAAGTTAATAGTTAAGTACATTGGGCGAAACATATTCAGAAATGTATTTATATTCAACTGGAAACTGCAGTAGCTCAGAACAGATTTTGACATGTAGATCCTTTAGAGGATATTTCATGTCAAGGCCCAATTATCGAAGTATTATGTGCTGTGATTGTTATGCATTTCAATTGCCCTAACGCCCTAAGAATCCGATTTCTTATCTACGCAAGTCTGTTGGCTGTCAAAGTTTGCAATTGGTCAGGAAAACGAATGTGTCGACACGCCGAATGGCAAATGATAAATCTGGAATGGCGAATATCCCAGCGAATATCCGAGCCATTGTTGTCTTCGTAGAAATTTGCAATTTCATACATTTTAATGCTGAAAGCTGAAATTGCGGCTTGCCACCCCTTTGTCTTGCCACATGTGCGCGTGCCAAGGAAACTCTAGTAACGATATAAATTATGGCATTTTTTTTTAAGTTTGGCGAGAACAGCGACAGCCAGCGGATACGAAAGCTAAGCCACACAGTGTCGAGGCCATAAAATCTAAAATGTAATTTGATTGTTGTCGACAATAAAAACTTATCTCATAAATGTAGCAATTATGCTGAAGCCAGGCAAGGAATAAAACGTTGACGGTGTGAATAGAAGTAACTTGAAAATGGTTTAAATACCAGGAATCACATCATAACCAAAACACCTCTTTAAACTGTATAGGGTATACGCATTCCTGATATTAAAGATCTGTATCGTAACAGTATCATTTCAAGATGAAGATTAAGAATTATATTCAAGCGACACTTCTTCATAATTACATACAAGATATGCGGTTTTTTCTCTTAGTTTTAATAGTGAGAAACATTGTAAAATCTGGACACGCAATCCGCATAAATGTGCCATTAGGAGTGCGTGATGTTTGTATTAATATAAGAACCTCAATTGGATATTATATGGCTAAAATACATGCATGTACAAGATAATCACGTTAAGTAAAACTAACTACATTAAACTGTTCAAGGCATAGACTCATATGCTGATTGTTTTATAATAGTTACTTTAAGTGATTGCAAAAGCTACCTAAGACAAGGTTGGAATATTCCTTCCATGTAAAAATATATATGGCATTCGATAATGTTCTGTTACGATTGATTGGTCCGAATTTCAAGTTGAGAAGTCAATTTGTTTTCAAAACAAAAAGTTATTTTAGCAATTTTTTTAATTGCAAATGTTTTATATTTCATTTAATATTTATAAGAATCATTTTCAAAAATTGATTGAAGCCATGTTTCACTCTTTATGTGTAATGGAAATTTATGTGTTTTATTTTCCCATTGGCGGAAAAGTGTTACTAAAAAGAAAATAGAAACCTTTGCCCGCGCAATACCTTCTAGATTATCATGTGCGTTTTGTAATATATCGTTAAAATCAAACTTAAGATTGGGAATCGGGCTGGTCCAAAGAAATGTTGCTAACGGTTTTTTTTTTCGCTTGGGACGCTCTAATGGCGGCGCCTTTGCTCACACACACACACACACACACACACACACACACACACTCGGATATCAGCATATAAGTATGTGTATTTGTGTTGTCGGCTTGACAACAGTAAAAAAGAACGGAACTGCTGCCTCGGTTGCTTGCCATTTTGTGTCCCGCCTAACGCACGATGCCCGCCCTAACCCCTTGCCCCTTAGAACAATAAGCTTGGGCCAAGTCGGTGCCAGAACGGACATTCCAACAACAATGGCTAAAAATTTCGGTAGCTGTTGCCAAGAAAAAAATGCCAGCAGCATCGAAGGCTGGAGCGGAAGAGATTTGACAGTATACGCAACATGGGCGAAAAATGAGTGGCGACCAACCAAAGCAATGGAGGCGCATCATCGGGCGCACATGTCGTATGCGTGACGAGACGAGGCAGTCAAAGCGAGGGGCCGGACTCAGCAGTCAGCAGCCAGCAGCCAGCAGTCGACAGTCTCCAGTCGACAGTCACCAGTCGACAGTCGGCGGCATAAACGCCCCGAACAGATTTCATAGTTTTTATCGATTTAAGTGGATTCGGCCTAACATGCAAACAGACAGAGCCTGTATGTATCCACACACACACACACACATACACACACATGGAAAAGTAAGTGTATGAGACTAACATTCTCGCAAAGACGAACACAAACAGCCCTGATTTTTGGCAAGCGTCCTGGTAGAAATGAATAAGTATAAAGCAGGCACGAGAAGTCAGCTTCGAATCATTGCAACATTTTCAATGCGCAGTAGAGCAGTTTTGACCGGCTTATAGCGTTATTTGCTCGGTGGATTGACAATCCCTGAAGAGATCAAGAAAATATATATATATATATATATATATAGAAGAGTGTAGTCTCTTCTCAGTTGATGTACTGTGTGAGCACTGGCAGCATATATCTCGGTCTAAATCTTGGCAAGCGCCACGCACATGCATGCGTAAATGTGAGGAGAAATGAGCTTGAGTCGGAATGAGGAAGTTGCGACAACAGAGAGTTGAACTTACCCCATGCGTTGCTTAACTTTTCAGAACATGCAAAGAGGAAGTCTGACCCCCCCCCCCCCCCCCACATACCCACCACGCCCCCTCTACACACTCATTGCCCTTGTCGCATGTTACGCCGCAGTCGCTTAGTAAATGCGCAATAATTATGCCAGATCTTGATCGGGGCTCCACGAGTAGGAAGAACGAGAGTCGCTGACTATCAGATACCCTGTAGCCAGCTCTGAGCAGCTAACACAACTGACTAAGAATCTACAAACATTGCTCTGCATGTTTAAGAATAGTAAACATTATGTGCTATGATTGTGATTAAATGCAAGCAGTTTCATAGAGCACTCGACATATTGGCCTATTGCTGAAGAGTCATATCACAGTTCATATATCAAATTAGTACGTACGATGCGGCCCCCAAATTTCAGTTCTAAATCGTGGTGTACATGGCCAATTACCTTATCTGCAATTGCTGTGAGTTATATCGCATTTATATACGTATAGAAAGCCAGCAAGTTTTTGTGGAGGAGCAATCAAATTTGCTTTCCCTTCGAAAATTAAATTTAGTAACATTTTTGGTTTGCAATAATTGCACAATAATTGTTCACAAACTGGACGGGAGTTGTTCGTTTTTGGCACTGTTCGTCTTGTGCAGCAAAATTGTTCGATTCTATTAAGTTAAAAAACATGAAACTTGGAATATATCAACTAAATCTGTCATTGTTATAACCTAGACTACCGATGATGTCATCAATATACCAAGAAAAAATTATTTGGCAGGCAAGCCGAACAAAGAACTTCGCAGGAGTTCCTCTGAAGTTCTATCTAAATGTATGGAACCACATCTTCTTTGACATGCCTGACATGCACATGCTTTTTAGCTTTTTTGCATGTGCCTGTCAAGCATGTCAAAAAGATGTGGTTCTATGCAGTTCGATCGATCTTTAGATGGGTTATTCAATATTGAAATGAAAAGCTTATTGGAACTGAGAACTTTTCCAACAAAGTCTATCTTTAAGGCAGATCTCTTCAATAGGAGCTACATATTCTGATTGTTCGATGTTGATATCGCATGACAATTATAATTCTTGCATGAAAATAAAAATCAATTTTATTCATAAATGTTCATATTGTGTCTTGTTAGTTAGTTGAAATTGATTTCACTCTCTTTTCAACTGTTGTTTCTATAAACAGAAAAGGACTTTGGCTTCAGCACTACTTCTTTGATTTTTTCGGTAAGCCCGACACATGAACAGACGTCTTACCATTTAAATTATTGTAGTTTAAGGATTTGAGCAATGGCATGCCTTTCTTATGGGGGTGGCCTTTGCCAAAGTAACCCGTAGAGCCAATTGAGCCGTGCTGTCCAACCGAATATAAGCTGTGCACCGAATAGTGCTTAATTGCGTTTTGGTATTGTATCTCAAGAGTTTTACGCCTATATCGATGCACCCTGGCGCGCCCCACTGTTGTACCCTCGAGCACGCGTTCCTGTGCCGGATGCCGGCGGACCCAAGTCCACGGTTTCGTATCATCAAACGGCTCATGCATCAATACGGGCAGCATCAAGCCCATAATGCGGAGATTTTCTTTTCCCATGTAACGACGTTTCTTGGGTTGTTTGGTTGTTGGTTTCTTGCCCTTAGACGCCAGTGGGCCGGGGCGTTTGTTCTCCACAACACTTGAGTACAAATCGGAAATTTCGTTCATGCTTTTCCTATTCCGACGACTTCCGTAATTATCTCCGCCGTTTCCCTTATTGCCACCCTTACCATCTTTGCCACCCTTGCCATCTTTGCCACCGTTGCCATCTATGCCACCGTTGCCATCTTTGCCACCGTTGCCACCGTTGCCACCGTTGCCACCGTTGCCACCGTTGCCACCGGTGCCATCTTTGCTGCCATCTTTGTCACCTTTGCCACCGATGCCACTGTGACTAGGTCTGCCACCTTTGTCGACTTGGCCACCGGCTCTGCCATCTCTGCCATCTCCATCTTGTTTAGAATCATCAAATCCAGAGCCAAATGTTGATTCGGTAATAAACTGATTGAAGGCCGCTGCTTGGCCCGCTGTCATACTACCTCTGTCAAAAAAGTTCTTGCACATCCCCCCACTGCGGTAAAAAATGTCACTTTCCGACTTTCTACGCGGCTGTATAGCTTCGCCGCACGGCATATTCAGAAAGTAGTATAGAATCGTTACCAATAAATGACGAATATACGGATGCAAGGGATTGCGAAGATTGCCGTCAACATCGAAAATCCCATCATAGAGCGCACACGTGTCGGGCCGTACGAAAGGTACCCGATAATAGTTCCACTGGGAGCATTTCGGATTAAGTATTTGGCCAAACTTCTGCATAGTAAGCGTGTAAAGGAAGCGGCACACTTGGTGCAATGGCTTCATCAGTATTGTGGCCAGCTCTCTTAATACGCTCCCATTGTGTAGACACCAACGCCTCTCCTCCGATTGCCAGTGTTGACTGAGTAGTCTGCATCTTAGTGTGGGCTGCGTTACCTCTTCGCAGCTCAGTAGACGCAGCGTTCTACTGTACGGCAGACGGCAGGAGGGTGCGCAGAACATTGACAAAAATTCAAAATTTAAAAACTGGATGTGTGCGTAATAAGTTTTATTTGAAAACAGAAACCCTTGGATACCTATGACCACTATTATTGACTCGGTTATGTTTACTGTTTCTGACACGCCTGCTAGTGGACGAAAATACACGTCGATACTCTGGTTTCTTATGTAGCCCCGTTATCGATTCTACAGCAGGCTCCTCTGGCGGGCTATTTATGCTATGTATGGACCATCTATTACGGGCTTGCTGCAAAGCCTTCATTACTGATTCCCGCCTGTAGCGTCTGACACGGGCCATGCCCACTTGCCCGTCCTCCTGCATGCGTAGCTGGTCCGGATGACGACGCAACCAGGTGGTTCTCTTGTTGGTGTCGTACGGTTCATGAAACAGCACGGGCAAAGATTCGCCGTAGTATCTACGTTCTTTTACCGGACGCTGTTGTACATTCGTTTGTGCCGGCTGTAACTCTGGCCGATGCTCCTGTTTTCTTGCCTTTAGACCTTGAACTGTATGCCGATGCTTGGGCTCATCGCTCACTGTGGCCGAATAGAAGTTGGATATATGTTGAGCTGCTTGTACACGTTTTAATTGCTTTGGAGAGGATTCATTTAGGTCCGTTTTGGCCAGGGCAGCAAGAAATCGACTCGGATCCTCATCTTTCAAGTTCTTCCGCAGCATTTTATGCAAAATAAGTTTTTGATGCAAACGCAAGCTGTCTAGCTGATTGCTGCCTTGGCCCCGACGTCGACCCTTCTTATCTACCAACAACAAATCGGAATCGTGCAAGCTAATTGTGGCCCGTCTCACATTGGGAGTGTCAATCTTAATATTATGATCTATTGGTTTATTGGAAGCGTGACTTTGAGTTAGGATTGAGTGTACATCGGGCTTAGCATACATATCAAATTGGCGCGGTTCTTGACTCTTTTTTGTACGCAGGTAATCGAGGTCTATATTTTTGACAGGGTTGTTAGTCTTATTCCCATTAGCTTCGTTGGCAAAACGGACCGTGGCCAAATCATGAATGGGTATTGATTGTGTAGGCTCAGCAATATCGGCAATATCCGACGTTGAAATGGTCTTAATTACTTGAAGTAGCCTAAACAGACTTCTGGGATGTGTTGGATCACGCAGGTTACCATCCAAGTCAAAGATGGACAGGTAACGCTCACAAATATCCCCGTGAGACAGCGGTACGCGGCAATGATTCCAGCCCTTGCCCTTAGGATTCAAAATATCACTATAATTCTGCAGCGTGAAATCATACATTAACTCGGCTATCTTATGTATGGGCTTCTCCAACGTATATGCCAGATCATTGAATACTTTTATGTCTCGTCCATACCACAAGTCCCAATCGTTAATCCGCGCCTTTCGACACCATTTACATGGCGTATGAAGCTTATGAAACCCATCCACCGGGCGACATAGTTGATTTCGCGCTGAACTGGGACATGCACATCTCACAGCACAAGGGCATGTATTGACCCTTCTCCTGGAGCACATATTATCCCAGTGCTATAATTTTACCAGGCTTCCAATAACATTAAAATTTCGAATTGATGTTTCGGGCAATGGTTACTCTAATGCGAGATGACCTCCGCATAGCTCTAAATAATTTTACGACTTCCCACAAAACGTGAGCCCAGTTGATCCTAAACAAAAATGTACCCAAATATACAGAAAGCACTCACTTTTTATCTAATAACATTCTAACAAAAATTAGTCTTGAAAAGTTTGAGCATGCTTAGTCTAACTTTATGCAAATTTTCAAGGCTCTTATTTGGCAAGCTAATGTTTGTGCCAAAGAACAACTCGCGTTTCATACATTTGCCCAAAACCATTCTACAAGGCACAATTACAATTAAACAAAATAATCATTGTAAGCCGATGCTACTTAAAAGTTGCAAGACTACCTTATAATTTATTTGAATCACCCAAATATAATGTTTATATCGAGGGAAAACTAATTTTGTTGATAGTTTCTCAAAATTTCCACAAAACCGATAAAAATGCATTATACCCCGAAATATAGATGCGAACTTTTTCCCAGTAAAATTTAATAAAAAAAAAAAAAACAAACAAACAATATGATCCGAGCTACCTATACAGACACACACACACTCACACAAGCACACAAAAGCACACACAAGCACACATAAACAAACACAAACAGAATGCTGCGACTGGGCTTCTTTTTAGCATTACCCAACACTATTTATGGAAAATATGATTAATGATTGATGAATTATTCTTAATTACCTACAAGTCCTAAATGTGACTCCGGGATATGGCTAAATAGACTTATCTAAAATGATTGTGTTAATACGAAACGGGTATCGATACTTTGAAATAAATTTAATATGCATGAGCATTAATCTCTAGCTCTCATTATCTCTCGGCCTTATAAGCAGATCATCAACATGCTGAGCAAGGATATTTTCATTTTTGCACAAAAACATTATAATTTAAAGAAAATATGCCGGAACTGGCTAGATCAGAGCACCATATCATATAGATGCCTTAATATATATTAGCGGAAACAACATCCAACAACTATAAATATAGCTGTATTATAAAAGATTGGTCCAAAATAAACCTTTTTTTGGATATGCAACTTTTTATTTTCAATATATGTTGACCAAACTAGTCGAGTTATATATAGCAAAATTTTTAACCAATTTTTTGGAAAAAATCAATCAATAATGGACTTTCTCGTTTTTAATGAACACAACGTGAAATAGTTTATTTTGGTGTCTAGCTCTCTCTAAAAAGAGCCCAAAATCGATCATTTTCCATTTTGGGAAAGAACGAATAGAGTCGTAGAGAGATAACGTTGACTTGTACATATATGCAAGTACAACAATTAAGGACTCTTTCTTAGATGGGTGTGCTGTCTTATCAATGTGAGAGAATCGAGTAGAGGGTATCTTTTAGGCGAGCACTTGCGTGTGTAGCACTCTTACTTGTTACCTTTTCGTTTGAAGCGTAAAAAACAAATTTATTCATATTAATTTTGTACACTCGACGGCCGATGAGTCAAAAGAAAATTAACCAAAAGCGAAGAACCGCAAGCAACACACACACGGACACACACACACACACACGCAAACATGTGTAAACATAAACACAAACACGAGCACACATACATGCATAGAAAGCATGAAGGCAATGACGATTGAAGTGGCCAGCGCAGATGGAAAAGTCAATAACCCCAGGGCTGACAACATCAACGTCATCTCGTACCAATCCATTACGTGTCGCTTTGGCTTTTGCGCTGTGTAATTTCTGTTTTTGATTTCGAGCCTAAACAAACACGCAGCTTTCTGTGCTTCAAGTCTGATACTCTCCGTTCTGGCTGGACTGTATTGGTGCGTTTGCTGCCCAAATCCGAGCCAATATTGGCTAGAAAAAGTCAAGTACAGGGCATCGCAAAAGCTGTGAAGCTCCAAATGCTGGCTACAGAAATTGTCTCAAACAGAGCGTAAAACAATAATTACAAAATTGCATGTATTTTGTTATCATGAACAACAACAATCAATTTGACGAGCCACAGCACCGTTTCCCGGCCCTCGTCGAAATCTGAGCGTAGATAAAAGCCTACACGAAAGCCTTGACAACTTGTGTGAACACATTTGTGGGGGGGGGTAACATGAAGGGAATACATAACCGAATTATTTTTATGGCTAGAGATGGATTGTTGCGAAATCCGCATTTCTATGTGAATTTGCCAGTATATAAATTAGCTATTTGTCATTTCATTTGTAATCCGATTTTGTGCCCAAATTCGGTTTCTGTGCGAATTTTTGATTAAAGTTAACGCGAGCTGGGAAAGTATTCTCGAACAACTATCACATACTGTATTTTATATATATCTATGCTAATTAAATTCTTGTTTTGTTTTATTTTGTTTTCTATTCAAAAGTTCAAGATTTGGGTGAGAGTAGCAAACGCAAACGCCGACTTGTACAAGTTTTGAAATAATTAATTTGTTAATTTTGTATACTTACAATTCGTGAAGGGTTTAGGTCTTGATATAATCCTCAAGGTTAATATTTATTTAATTTTTGTTATATATATTTAAGTGAATTATCAACAAAAGTAGCTGTTCTTGTTGTTTAAATGTTTAACAACGTTTATGTATTTGATTTACTAATATATGTAAATATGTTTCAAAAAATTGCACGTTTGTTTGTTTATTTAACGTTTGTTGTATTATTGATCTTTATTTATATATTCAGGAATTAGCTAAAATTGTTTAAATCGCTTTAACAAAACAATGAACACAGCGGCGATATTTACAACAATTCTTGTTGTTGTTGATGCGTTTTTATTGCACTTATTGATTGCACTTTTGATTTTTGGACTTATATGAATTTGATGAACTTATGGCTCGATATATATGCATGTATATATACATATGTGTGTGTACGTGTACGTGTACATGTTAGCTGCGTTGAAGAAATGAAACTATTAATCTTTATATAACCTCAATGTTGCCACCGCGATAAATTCAATAAACAAAAGAAGACAAAAATTGTCTCGAACGCTTTCCATGCTTCTTGGGCTCAATTTTCTATTTCACTCAGCCTGTTTATGTGTATCGCATGCTCGCTCTCTCTCACTCTCTCTCACACACACACACACACGCACTCACACAGTCACACGCGCGCAAACACATGCACACACGCAAGCAAGCACAAACTCACACACACACACACACACACTCTCACTTTAATAAATATGTATGTATGTACGTACACACACACACACACACACACATATATATTATCAGATTCAGACACAGCGAAATTCCGCTACACCGGATATTACAATTGAAAAGAGCGGATTCGTTTTTTAAATCAAAATCAACACAAAAATAATATACATGAATATAATGAAAAAAAAAAATCAAAAAATTATATTTGTCGCGGTTGTGAAAACATTTGTTGTTCATACACTTAAGCGAGATAAAACCGAATACGCTAAAATCTATGCACAAAGAGCAGGATGCGAGCTAATAACAATAACAACTTGACTCTCGGTTAATTTTGGTTTCTTTTTGCCCTGAACATGTTTTGCATTTGCATTTGATTGGATTGATATTAATTTTTGATACAAATTATGCGTTACGACGTTTCATTTTGTTCGCGCACTCACTTCAATTGCTTAAAATTTGCAACAACAATCGCCTATTGCAGTATGCCCAATGCCAGTTGTTGTTGTTGCTGCTTTGAGTTTTTTTTTATTTTATTGTGTGTGGCTGTGCCTGTGGCAGAGTGAAAACATCGAACACGACGCGCTGCTGCCTCCGTTGCTGGAAACTCTGGCAAACCGTACAGTTTGAAAGTTAATGTCGGACTGTTCGGAATGCTGGCGCTGTTCCCTCGAACAGACACGAAACGTGCCGACGCTGCCAGCAGCGGCGATGTTGCATGGAACGCTCGTGTTGGAACGCGCCCAGTCCGAAATATTTTCAAACGACTGGAATCGAATCGAAACTGGAAGCCGAGCCGAAGTCAAAGTCGTTGTTGAGTCGCCCGCATAACCAGTGTGTGGCCGGTCCGCACAGCTGAGCGCCATTTACTACTGCAATCAACCGTTAGATACATATTTATCTAAAAGATAGGCCGCACGTACACACACATACACATACATACGTCAAAAAGCAACGAGCGGCCGCGTTGTCATCGTAGTAAAAGCAAAACCGGTAAAGACAGCCGCAACGTTGCATTTTGTGTGGGCGAAGAGAGCAGGTCTAAGAGAGAGAGAGAGAGAGAGCGAGAGAGAGAGCCAGCCGCAACGAAAGAGAACAAGAGAAAATCTGTTGCACTTTAACTGCAATTCTGTATTGGGGTTGCAGTTGGCCTGACGCTGATATTAACATTCTCAAGAATGCCACGAACGCAACCTATTCGTCATCCGATCATGTTTGAACATTTGCCACACGAACACTCGAACAAATGAATTGAAACTTTGTTAATATTGTGCCTATGGCTATGAAATCAGTTAAATCAGTTACAATGCAATAAGTGCAAGTGCCTGAAAATAATTGTTTACAAAACTCCCTTGCAATATCGACCGTTATAGCGACAATTATAGAAAGCAAAAGTCAGATTTCCACATCATGTTGCCAACAGATAACCCCCAAAGGTCAGAAACCAAATTTCTGAGAATGCTGCCGTCGACTTTATCAATTATAACTACACCAACGAGAAATCCAGCCTGGCGATATCATTTGAACTTTAGACTGACTGTAAAGCTTAGAGGTACAATTTGAATGGATGGCACAAAATAACACAAAGAAGAAGACGCAGAAGAAGAAGAAGAAGAAGAAGAAGCAGCAGCAGCCCAAAGCGAACAGACATGCGACTCGCTTTACGAAAAGTGCCCGACTAGAAGCCCAGCTCCGACCTGCCGTAACACACATACATGCATGTACATGTCTGTGTGTGTGTGCGTGTGTGTGCACATGCATTCGACCTTCCTGCTATACATACCCTTCACTACTCGTAAGTAGTTCATAAGGCACAAAGCGGTTCCTGCTCAACTGCCTCGAGTGCAGTTCGTTCGCGAGCTTAACATGGCGATCTCTGCTTTTGTCCGTGTTTACCTGGGCATTGCCTTGCGCCAGCGAATGTCTGCGTGAGTAGAACCAGTTTTTCGCTGCGCAACTTCGTACTTTT